AGCGTCTTTCTGGAACATTAGCAATCGGATTTTGAAGTCAAGGTCATATGGGAATAAGCAGTTTAGGAAGAATCAAGAGAGTTGATTGGACTGAAGAGGGATAATGCCGTTAAATCGCCACCCATGGGCATGAGTAGGTACAAAGAGGTAGAGTATGGAAAAATTAAAGGAAAGAGCTTAACCTCGCAAAACGGGACCCTTGTTTTTTTCCCGTGGGTTTTCGCTTTGGGCAAGTCTAATCGGCTCATCTTGAACCTCTGCTGTGCCTCTGTGCTAAATCGGCTAGATCTCCAACGATGAAGAGTAGCCGGACAGCCACGAAGGGAATTCACCGCTGCTGGGTCAAGCTCCGTTAGGCTGCCAAGGGCACTTTTTGGGAGCAAAACGCGCCTCTTACGCCTTTTTCAGAGGATCTGTTTCCATTCATACCTCCCGTCTTCGACGCTGAATTGATCGCACTTCCTGCCAAGGCTTAAGGGAAGACTGTCGGATTCTGAGAAGCAGAAGATCGATAGCCGTTCCACAATGATTTGATAAGCTCTGTGCACCCATCTGTCCCTTCATCGCTTGGATGGTGTTCATTCTTAGAGTCTCTACCCGTCTTTCTACTCGTTTCAGTCATCCTTGACATGATCCATCCATGATTTATTTTCAGATTTCCATTTATATGAATGCCGTGGGTGCGAGTTGAAGTTCGTTACACCATTTATTGCAAATTTCCACATAAAAGAAGGCAAATGTAAGAAGGAAGAAGGCGAATTGTGCGATGATGGAGGGCCGGTGAGTATTTTTCAGCCAGCTTCTCATTGAGGTCTTGATCCTGATCTCAAGCGTCTTGCTCTGACGCTTCCGTCATTTTGGTGACCCAAGCTTCTCGTAGTTTGGAATGCATCAGTGAGGCAGTAAATCACCAAGCAAACCCCGCAACCAACCCCGACTTGTTAATTCGAGATGGTGAAAAATTGCAGCCTCTTCGTGTGGTCGATCTCGATACGGTAGACTTCGCTATGTTTTGTCAGCTCCAAAACGCAATCACAAAGTGCACGGAGTTGATGCTTTACGAGCGTAAGTACTGGCTAGTATAGCCATTACCACGTAAATCTTGAACCAGTCCTCATAAGTTCCATTTTAGTGAACTATGGAGAAGAAGATTTATTGAATTGTCTGGTATTTAGTAAAGAGGTCAGTTTTGCCATTCAGCAACGAGCTCAAGTCCTTCGGAACTAAAGAGGGTTCGTTCAGCCTGCTATGTGTCCTGTTTCCCCGGACCCCGCCTTACAGCCGAGCGCAAATGCACATCACCACCTCCGCCGCAAGTGCGTCCATCGCCACGTTCTGGCAGTTCCGATACTCCGTTGACCCAACCGGCAGCTGCTAATCAGGAATCTGAGGAAAGGGATCTGGCTGATGGCTACTCACTTGTCTCTGACGAAGAACTTGAGGTAGTCTCCAGTTTCTCTCTCGCTTACTTCCTTTCAAAAAAACGAAAGACTCCTCATTTTGTGTTCGTCGCCCCACTGCCCTGGACAGGGTAGCCTCATTGTGAGCATAACCTATAGGATTGTTATTGCAGAAATCGCGTCGATGCGACGCGCATTGTACGTGACTACGGCAGGAACATCGTAATTTACGCTTACTTCGGGTGCTCACTCTGTCTAAACGGCTTATCTCGGGTATGTATCCAGCAAATGCATTGTGCATCAACAAATACATAATTCTTCGAACATTAAACTTTCATGATACCGCTACTGTTGAATGAATCGCAAACGCATGTCATGGCCTTGGGCTTTGACTGAAGGAGCACCATAAAGAGAGCCATCACTGAGAAAACACGATTTTATTTCGTTGAGGTTTGCGAGCCATCTTTTCTGTAGTGCCACCAGTAAATGCGCACCTCTGGATCAATCTGGTACAGTACTTTCGCTCGAGAATCGAAATAGATGGTGAAATTGAAGATACAATTGAGAAAAAAAGTAAATAAAGGACCGGAAATAGTCAAACTACATCGAGCACCTTTTCTATAAGCTGCGGAAGCTCTAGAAAAGGGACAATGAGATGTTTATCACCGAAAATGTGTAGGGTCTAACAGGGAGAGACAGCGAGGCAAGAGATGCTGGTCGCCGTGGGGAAAGGAATGGGTGACAAGGGAGCATAGGTGCAAGCGAGAGCGGATTCGGCTGCTGACGTCAATTCCGTTGAACACCTGGTCTAGGTTGAACACCGTGTGAAGCCTACCACCCTTTTCCACGTGTATGCCCACCTATCATCTTTGTCTTCGAATTCAGGTGGCTTTAGTGTGAAGAAGGGGAAGTTTTCCTACCGTGAAGTATGCTAGGCTTCTAAGGGATGAAGACGTGACCCTCGCAGGAAAAGGGTGGCCATAGAGTCCCGTCGAGACCGTACCCGTGGTGACCGTGAAGAGCCTCGCCTCAAGGCGGAGGACTCAGTTTATGATTGGTTGAAGAAGGGTTATGGTCAACGAGAGGGACTGTAGATGGTAGAGCAGGACGGTCATATTGATGAGGGCTACCGCTGAATCTTGTCCGAAGAGTAAATCACCGGACAAAATGGGATCCAAAATTCCCCTTTCACGCGTTCCAAGACATTTCCCTTGACTTTTCCTCCATTACCGCATCTTTTTGCACTTTAACTTTCATAATTAACAGGGCAGCCAAATCACCTACCTACTGCCTTCAAAAAAGCAGCATTTACCGTATTCAGAGATCTTATATGTAGTGCGTAATTGAACAAGAACACGACTAATTATATTTCAGCCATCAAAACTGCCTCGATCTAGCAATATCGAAGTGGACGACGGTCTATCGTTGATAAGTAACAGCCCGTCAAGTAGCGTCGCAGCTCCAAGTCCTCATCAAAGTTCACCAAGCAGCAGTTCCGCAACTTCTCCTCCTCCCCCATCACAAAGTCCGTCGAGCGCTGATCCAGTACCTTCCTTCATGAATCTGAAAGTGCAAGAGTAAGTTCTACCGGCAGTACTTTGACGGGTCTTCGTAATCAAGATGGTAGCTCGTTCTCATCATCGTTTTTAATATCATAAAGGTAGAGCTGTAATTCTTCAGGATATTCGGTGAAGATCTTCCACCACGAATGGACAGACGTCAGCAGGTGGTGATGCCCGAACGAATCTACGCCCCGAATACGGCCGTCTGTGTCGAGGCAGACTCGTCTTCAATGACAGCCCCGACTCCGGCTCCATTCTACTTTCAAGCAGGGCTGCATTTCGAGTGGATCCAGCAAAATTTGCCACACCTATGAGCTGTTTATCTTACGATAGTCTGTTTATTCGACGATATTGAGTCAACCACGGTGTCTCCATATGACAAGGATTATTCCTTACTGTTCGGAAATGGAAACGGACTTTAGCAGCGGAGCATGCCTTCATATCACAACGTCAATGTTGTGGGTCGATCGGGATGTTGCTCTGCGATATGCAGGAGTTGTTTCATATCGACTATGTATGGGCCTCTCAATTGATCAAAGAGGCACAAATAATTTGCCTGGAAACCGCTATCCGAGAGAGGACTTGTAACCTGAGCCAGTGTGGAGTAGTCCACGGAGTTCTTATACGTTTGCATAATGTTGTTTGCCTGCCGGATATAATTGTGGAACAATTAAAAATTTGTATTTTTTGGCAAAAAAAATTATAGTTAAATCTCATTCCAAAGGTGATATTTGGAAATTTCGATGTGCCATAAAGTTCAAAAAAGAGGTTTTTGGTGTGAGAGTAGGTAAGGTTATCGTGGTACCTCAGCAGGAATAAAGCAAGAGAAACCATCAAAGAAAGCTCAAAAAAGAAACCTTTTTTGCCAGTTTGATTTTTCACCGGATGAACAAGTAAGTTGCTGAGAAATGTGGATGTGTGAACGAGTTCAACGGCAACGCATTTCTATGGCTCATGGCAAAACTGATGCTTTAAAGAGATGACTCATTGCGCCGCTAGCCAGGTCACGCAGCTGTCCAAGTCTCAGAAGGAGATTGTGGGCGATCGCTTTTGGAGGCGGAGCGCTTTCGTAGTCCACTTGACTCAGAACAGAGCACCTATTCGTTTGTAAACGCAACAGTTCGCTTTCCTGGTAACAAGTAACTGATCTGATGTGGTGGCAACATGTTCCGATGGCCCCTCTTTATCGCTAATGCTTCCTTTAAACATTTTGACGACAATGCGAGTTTTGGCTTTTTTGGCCACGTGGGACCGCGGCGATTTTGCGGGGCGAGCTCGCCACAGGTCGTTCAAGCAGATTTTGAGTGATAAATACACAACTAATGGCCAATTCAAAACCAAATTAGTAAAATTGTAATGAGCGCAACCTACCCAGGGGTACAGTAGTGGAATTTTGATCAAAAGACATGGAATAACAATGAAAAAGCGAAATTTTTCAGAACTAGCTGCAATGGACCTTAAAAGTAATTTTACGTTGATTATTTCAATCAAAACACACATGTTGTCATCCCTAAAGTTCCTTATCTACTTCTACTACTTTTTAAATCTTCATATTAATAAAAAGAGAAAGTAAACGAAAAATTTATTGAAATGAAGATTTCGTATGGTTCAGAAATCCTCCTCTAAATTAAAGTATACGTGACCATTCTAAGGGCCACTATGTTTGTAGCTACGCTAAGGTCTCTTCCATGGAATGAATACAAGGAAACTTCTAAAAGAATCAGGCGTGCGCGAAAAAAATGAGTGTAATGGGTGCGGGGGATATATATCCCGCACGGTCCGACACATGGCCTGCAATGCGCGGGATATATATCCCCCGCGTTGTCGTCAATGTGTTAAGGTATACGGAAAGAGGTGCTGTCGCGGCGTGCGAGAAGGAGCAGACGTGGATGTTTCAGCAGACGAGAAGCAGCGGTATTGTGATAATGGGCGTCAAAATTAGATGCAATGTTATTATATGAAGCACACATTGCAGTAAGCCCGCTCTAACTGTCCGCCTGATGCTTGAGTCTTCTCATGGCGTTCGCGACGGGCATCCTGTTGTATGTGTCCGAGGCCCGCTTGCTTGATCAAAATTTACAAGAAGTCGTACTTTCCTGTACGTTATTTTACGTCACATGCACGCACTGATTTTCGTACAGACACTGAAGCGTATGGAGGCTTTATGGGTAGATCTTGTAGTTTTCAAATAATGTGGAGCGTTACAAGGTATTTTCCGCGTTGAGTCGGGTTTAGTGGACCTCTTGCGCTACTTGGTAAGAATTTTCATTGGCATATTCTATTCTGAATGACGTGGTGAGCATTAGCTTCTATGTTTTATAGGGTGATTAATAATAGGTACCAATTCGCTCGCAGGTTTGGGTGTTCGCGAAAATCCATGACTGTTCTCGATGCTGGTTGTTGAGAGGTTCTTATTCTTGTGGGCCACTGGAGAACTGGCCGGCGCCAAGTGCCACATTCTGCGCTATCTTAGCAGAATCAACTGACGCCGTATTTTTTCGATGAGAGTTATAAACGTCTCCAGGCACATTGACGATAAGTCGAACAGAAAATTGAAAATGTTTATTTTGATTTTTTCCGACAGGAAAATCGAAGCGTGTGTGGTTCCAGGTTACTTGTGGGTCATATTTGGAGTTTACTTAGGGCTTAACCCAAAAAATTTTTATTTGATGGTTATTATGACTCTGCTAGACTTGGTATAAATCGCTAATACAACTTCAATGTTAACGAAACGATACAATGCATCTTGTATGTTCATGAACTTATTGGTTTGACTCTTAAGGAATTTGGAACCAATTGCAGCTTGGACGCTTTCATTCACCCTTGTACGTAGATAGGCCGATGATACCCACCACCGCCAACGTACCGACTGCACACAAGCATCACCACATTAACGTGAGCTATAGTCCTCATATGTAACCTTATATATGTATATTCGTCAAGGTTCATGAGATAGCTAAGGCAAAGCATTTGCAAGGATTTTGCTGTTTGATGGTAACGCTGTAGTGGGATTGTCCTGTTATGGTTCGAGAGTACTTCCCGCCGAGGGATGAAGACGGTTGGTCCACTATTACGATAAATTCATATTGTACTTCTGTGTTTTCAATACTATTAGCCCTATTAAAGGCGCAACCCAGGCAGAAGTTGTGTGAACAATTCCCTTCGTCTGTAGTATAGACCAATGCAGGACAATCAAGATGGGAGTTCAGTGGTCTGATAAAGCAACAAGGGAGGGGTGTCGAATTCAATTCTGAGGTGTAGAAGCTGCCCGCCCAAGTAAAGTCTTAGGAGCTGTTACTGATCAGATCACTTTGAATGTGCAGGTAAGGGTGTAACTTCTTTCTAAAGGGGGATCCAGAAAGCCTCGGCTGGAGCGCCCGTGCTGCTGGTAAGAGCGAGTGTTTGATTGGCGGTCGTTGCAGTGATCGCCGGGCATTATTTTGACGGTCCCCCGGAATGCCTTCAAACTCGATGTAGTAAGTGTGAACGATGAAATTTTACATTGTTTCCTTTCTTCCATCTAATCAAACATTTGAACGATCCTTTATACGCCCGATTTGCAATAGCTTGGCTGCTTGCGGCAATTGCCAATATTATTGCAACCATAAATTTACGCCCGATTGCATAGTGGCAATTGCTGGCAAGCAGCCAGATATGCGTGATTGCAATTGGGGCGCATTTACTGCGGCCATGTTCATACAACTCGTCCAAGAGCGTCTTCCTCCATTACTGAGTGGCGAGGGGGAGCCCCTGTCTAAGTCCCTGTTCGACGTCTTTTTTAAACTTTTTTTATTATTGGTCAACTTTGCACCACACAACTTCATTATCGGTGGTTTTGCCCTGCGAATTCGTTCTTGGACTGTTGCTTGAACAGGCTGACAAGGCATGGGCGTTGCAACAATTAGCTAGCAGATCGGCAGTGTTAAGCAAAGCTGTTGTGAAAGGTCTTGTCTGGTGTCGTTTTTGACTGGGTGTGCATTCTGTGGGTAGGATAGAGCTCCCGCAAGGTCGTTGTGGCGGCTCGAAACTGCGCGGCTGAAGCGTTTGGGTCTTACAAAGTGAGCTGATGAGAGCTGTTGTTGGCTGATGGATGGGTACCTACGCATCCCCGTGACAAACAACGTGGATTACACATAAGGGCCAATTCAAATACGCATGAGGTCAGTGAAGCCATGGAGTAAGCAAGTTCAGAAAACTCGTTTGGACACGCCCCTTTGTGGCATCCCAAGGGAGGCGAGATGGGGTACTTGACAGCCTTCATCGGCGGTTTCTTCTGCTTTTTTCTGTTGTCATTAAACGGAATCGAATATTCATAACTATACTGTGGGTTTACACAATTGATCGGAGGTTTCTCGGATCAAGCGGGAAAATTTTCCAAATGGAAGTAAAGGTTTCGGGGAAGGGTTTTCCCCAAGAAGGGAAAATTCTTAGTAGAAGACGAGCGAACCCCTATGGGGCGGAAAACGTCAAAATGCAGCGAAGGTTCCGGTGGTTGGTAGTAAGCTTTTCGGCCCATTTAGCGCGTATTGGCATGTTGCGCCGCTTCTGTGTCGTGTAATGAGTGCTGTGCGTTGTTAGTCAGAGAGGAGAGAGAGAGAGAGTTGTCGCTGAAGAGGGCGACATCGATGAGAGTCGCACCAGTGCGGAAATCAACGGGCAAGTAACGAATCCTTTCTTGGGTTCTGGGCCATTTCTCACGATTTTATCTTCATCCCTGCACCACTGACCACTTGTACCTTAATTCTAATTTGGGCTGGCCTTTCATTCGTTTAGCCTCATCTTGTGTGAGAGTGTGGAATTTTATTGAATATTAACGATAGACCGGTTGTCTGTGAAAGATTAAGGCCGATGTCAGACTTTGCGAATCGCGCGATTCGCTAGCGTCCGCGGTCGCGTTGCGGTACCAGCCAATTGAGTGATTCACTGGCCGCGACGCGACCGCAGACGCTAGCGAATCGCGCGATTCGCAAAGTCTGACATCGGCCTAAGGTGAGAGCGATGAATTCGAGGGTCGTAAGAATTGTATAGTTATAACCAAGTTTTAAAAATTTTATAATTAGATCAAATTTCCGATAGAGAACTTTCACTAGAGGTGAAGCAGGATTTGATGTATGGGTCCGTTTTAGTAGCGGCGGACGCTGCAGTGAAAGTGTCTATAATCACGAATGAGTAGGGTCTGTGAGAAGATGGTATCGATAGAACTTATTTTCGTTTCAGATGGAGATGGACCGTACTCTGGAGCCATCACAGACCTTCGTATTCGATATGAAATCCAGAGACTGATGTGTTGTAGACGAAGTTTTTGTTATGC